ACCTGCAAAAGGTCATGATTTATCACATATGGCTTGTGCTTGCATCCTCCTGCTTACCTGTATATATTGCATTAGAGTTTTGGGTTTTTTGGTACAGGAATTAGCATGTCTGCGTGAAATCCGCTCTTTGGAGATGAGTAAAAACATTGACTACTTCAACTTCAAATAAAACAAATAATAATCTTGTATTCTTCATTCAGCACTTGTATCCTACTTTTATGTTCTTCCTTTGTAAATGAACAGATGTCATCAGGGTGTTTTACTGTTAACACAGCAGTAGGGAGCTCAGTTAAGGGAACAAACCTCTACTCTTTCTTCACTTTGGAGTACATGCTACTGCAATGAAATAGAGTACTGGAATAGAGTGAGGGAGAGTCCAGCTGAGTGCATGGTGTGCCCTTGGTATAGTACCTGCAAACCAAAGTGGTCCTGCTGGCTGTCTCACTGCAGAGTTGCCAATGGCAGCTCTGCTTTCTGCTGTTCTGCTTGTCTGACAAGCTTTGTCATCCTTGTTGGTCTTCTGTTGTAGCAGTTACACTGCTCGTAGTACACATGCAGTTGAATACTAAGCTACTTTTAGTGTGCCCTGCGGTGTCAGGAAGTGGCTTTAGCTGAGATGTTGGTGTGGTGCAATGTATACACAGCAGTCGAAATGGCTGTGGGAACAGGGCTTGCCAGTATTTGTTCTGTGATTAGTGATGATTGAGCATATCACCACAAATGTTACACTCTCCACTACAGCTAATTTTATTTCAGTAGCCTTTCCCTGTTTTAAAAATGAGTTATAATACTGAACTCAGGCTGTACAGAAACATTTTTAAAGAAGGAATTATTGCTGTGGAATAGGAAGCTGATTTCTACTGAGTGGGATACACATCTGCTCACTTCAAGCCACTGCAGCAAGTGTGGTAAGACTTGAAAAAATAAAGTGTAAAAGTCAAATTTATTTCTTCTGATACAAATTCCGTGCTATCACTTAAACATGGAAACTACATTCAGAATATGAAAAATGTACTTCAGTTCCTGCAAAAGAAGAGATTAGTTTTTCAATACCAAGTAAACTACACAACCCTCACAAAAGCAACACTCGCCTCAGAGAGGAAAGTGGGGGAGATATGTTTCAAATACAACATTTGGAGGGTGAATACAGTATTTAAGAAAATAACGTGCAACTCTAAGCAACTGTGAGAGTAAGTGTTGCACACTCGTCTCAGAGTTTAAGGCTTTTATATTTGAAGCAAGTCAGAACTAGGAAAGCAGGTCTTGAATAAAAATTTACAGAGACTGCTTTAATCAAGAAGGGTTTGACCTTTACCATCTTTCTGCTTAGAACATTTAAATTTGGCAGAGGTGCTAGTTTCACAGAAATGTAACACAGTATACTAGGAGAGTTAGAGAGGGTAGTTCATGGAGTGCTTTTGTTCAGTTGTTTTTAATGGATTCAGATTTATTTTCTCCTACTTTCTGTGGATATGAAATGCTGAAATTCAAGGAGTGCCACTGGTCTGTTCTGTTGCTGAATGTGTTTGAATAAAAGTTACAGGCTTTCTGTTCTCTCTGCTGTGTTCCATAAAGGAGAAAACAGGAAGGTTCCTTATCTCTTCTGTCACTGAATTACATACAGTTTGACTGAGAAGTTTGCTGTGCAGCTTAGTCTGTCCTTGCCTGTCTTGCCCCCAGTACTAGTGGAGGCATTATATGGAACTGTTAAAGCATAGTCTTGGCCCCAGTGACTTCTGGTGGTTGTACAGGAGTGTGCAGAAAAATAAATGCCAATAATCAGTTGCTTAAGTGAATGACTTTTATGAATTTCAGTAGGTGCAGATGTAGCTAAATTTCAGATGTTAGGACTGGATCAGGAGCAATTGTTGCCTCTAAAGTAGATGCTTAACTTGCCCTAATGAACATGGAGGAAGATGGTTTTGTTTGAGAATGCCAGCAGTTTATTCAGTCCATGTTGGGTGTCTGCCTCCCTGCATTTTAAGGGACAGGAGCAAGAAAATGCCAGCACTAAATCTGCTGGTGATCCAGTCAACCCAGCCTTTTTCGTCAGTAGGTTGACATCCAGTCCTTAAGGGGAAGGAAGCACACAAGATTTGTAGATGCTCATGGTCGAAAGGAACAACAGTCAGGGGTCTGCAAAAACTCAGAAAGTTTTATTAGTAAATTACACAGGTGGCATGGAAATTGGTGTGTTAGTACCTGACCTACTGTATAAGCACATGGCAATCGGTTTTAGATAAAGGGTAAGATGAAGAGACAAGGAAAGAAAAGAAAGAGTAAGAGACCACCAGCTTTCCAGTGTTGGTCCAGCTCATAGGATGTCCTGAGGCACACAGCCAGTCTTGGTGGGGTTACTCTTTTATTTGTAGGTTTTCCCTCCCCTGAAGATAGTGACTACCTTTCTATGCAAATTAGTTATCATGGGCAGTCCGTTCTTTCAGATGTGAGGAATTTTCTTTATTTCCAGAAGCAGGTTGGAGGGTCTTTGGTGGTCTTGATCCCCCCCTACAGTCTATGCCCACTTCTCAGCCTCATTCCTGCCGTTGCATTGCACTACTGTACTTATCTCCAGGAACTAGAACTAAGATGTTTGTCCTAGAAAAGTACTGCCCTACCTCCACATGGCCCCCTTCTTAAGCCACATCTTGTTCTTTCCTATTGGAGTGTTATTACTGACAATCCTTGGTTGACTTCACAGCTGTCTGGCTATAAGTGTTTGGCACATACACATTAGCCCCTTCTGGGATTCTACAGTAGGCATGCAGTGAGGCAGAGATGGCTCTCTGTTGGCAACAATTTCTGCCTTCCTTTCATGTAATGATTTCTTCGTTAGAGGCAATGCTCGGGGAATAGATAAAGCAGAAGAGGCACTCCATACTTCCATATTTCTATCGAACAGGTAGGAAGAAATGGAAAAAACATCAGAGTAAATTAAGTTTCTACAGGCTACTTCATTGGCTCAAGACCTAAGCAAGGAAGGTTTTTTTGATTCCTACTTCAGCAGGACTAGTTGTACTCCAGATGTTTCCCTGCAGGTGAGTGGTGGGTGGCATAGACTTTGTATCGATGCGCAAGCTCTTATTATATACTGTAAACGTGCATAATATTGAAATGCACCACTTACTGGTATACTACAGTGTTTCAGTACAAAAATATATCTTGCTGACTGTGTTGGGTGGGTGAATGAAAGCAGATGTGCTTGATTCCTCATACAGTGATGAGGTGCTCTTGGGGTTTAAGTCACACGTGAACATAACACTGAAAGACCAGTGGTGAGCTGTACATCTGCTGTGTTTTCCTGTGGTGGATGAGAGTTCTCATGAGCAGAAATATGTAATTCACTTAACACTTATGTGTCTTTAGTGTGTCTTCTTTGTACAGTTTTTTTTTTAATAAGGACTTTCCATGTACCCTGAAATCTTTTTCTAGATCTTTGGACAGAGAAACCTTCACAGGGAAACATTTTAACAGCCTGTGAAAAGATAATGCACTTATATTTTGAAAAAAATTATTGATATTTTACTTCACAGAATATACACACATTTATTTTCAAGTGTGTGGGACAATAACCAAGAATAATTAAGGGTTTTATTTATAGTTCATGTATTCTTTTGACAATAAAATTTCGTCAAGACAATTTAGACAGCTGTGAAGGTCATTATATAAAGACATAAAAATAAGTTAAAAATATGCAGGTAAAAATTATTATATGTAAGTATTACACTTTGTGGTCAGTTTTGTAGGTCAGCTTGAGTAGTTTAAGAGATCTCAAGAAAACATTGCTAAGTACGTTCCATTGAGTCCATCTTACAATTAATTCTTTCTTCCTTAGAGTCACAACATATAACTGTGCGTGAAATATTAATGATTTACACAGACTTACAATAGACGTAGTGATACAACAACTGACTACTAACTTATTAAATATTTGATTTATTTGTACATTGTAGTATCAAACTGGAGTGCTGTACTCCTAATATGACAGCAATATTTGGGTTATCAGAGAGAAAAGATGTTCATACAACTTCTAAGACAATATTTGCTCTTTCAGTGTGAAAGAATTTTATGGGGAAAAAACCACTTCTTTATCATTATGCAAATTACTGGCCCAGGCATCTTGCTCTGAAACAAATGCTTTTCGTGTGAAGCACACACATTTTTACCAGCTATTTTTACAATAGTAAACAGTGATCTCTATAATCCAGTAATTATTAAAGACCTTACAGAGGTCTCAGATTTGTGAATAATACAAACAATTTTAAGACCTAGAAGTATGACTTCAATAGCGTTTACTCCTGTTCAGCATCATCTGGACTGAAATACATTATTTCAGTGACATCAGAACAGCAAATTCTGTAAAATTAGGCCAGTGTTTCTGTGTAATATGAAACAACATTTCCTCAAAGTTATGAACATGGTTTATCTTTTCTCACAGAGGTACATTTCAGAGGAAGATAATGATGTTAGTCACTTTTTTGCTATACACAAAAGTACAAGTACCTGACTGATTTTTATGTTATACTATTTTCCCCTGTTTATAAGAACTGTATCAACATAGATAATCAGATGATACATTGCACAATGTTGCATAGAAGGCGTTTTCTAAGTGTCTATCTAGTGAAAACATTTTTATTCATTACATTCCAACATTCATAACTCCAAATATGAAACAACCTAATAAATTACTTATATAAATACAATAAGTATATAAAACCCCATTTATAAAAAGGATTTTGTATGTGATATGTAAGAGAAATCTGCGTCAGTAGTTGTCAAGATAACACTGCAGTAGTAGTTGCATATCCTGCTTGTAAAACAAATGTGATACCCTTATTCTGTATTCAAATAAAATAATTTTATAGATATTTAAATGAATTAATTAGGAAATGCATGTACAAGATCACTTTCACAGATCAAAAACTTGTCCTGAGTTTATATTGTCATTCAGCTGCTGATCTGGCATGTACAAATGCTAATAGCAAGAGAGAAGGGGAGAAAAGTTTTCCAAAAATTGTTCTGGTTTGCTTATTTTAATAAAGTAATTATGACATTATCATCCCTTCCTTGCCATAACATTTCTCCCTCAAAGTCCACCAGCCCATGTTTCCTGGCTCTCATCAGAATTCCAACAACCTTATCTGAAATACGAACATATCTCTCAAAGAGTTCCCCAAAAGTAACTTGGATCTTGCCATCAGGCCGTGGCCTAGCCATTGATTCGATGATGAAGCACATGTCCCTGATCTCCCGATGGATATGGGCCTCGGCTCTCTTGGCTCTTTCAGCGGTTTTGGTTCCTTCCTTTGGACGGCCATATCCTTCATCTCCTTTGTGCAGGCGTGTGGACATGGCCAGCTCGTGATCAAATTCCTCGCTGAAGGGGTTCAGCTTCTGCGTTGTGATGTGCTGGTCGGCCCATTCCTGCCACTTGTCCTTCAGGCTGTGAACGGCGCTGTCTTTCCTGCGGGAGTTGGCGCGGGCCTCTTCGCTCAGTTTGCTTGCGCTGAAAGAAACACAGAAGGGCATTTGAGCTTTGGATCTCATAGTTTAATGGCTCAGTTCTGCTATTGATCTCTGCTGTTAACTGGTTACTGTGGTTTTGCAGACAAGATGGGAGCCACCAGGTGGCACGAGTTCACCACTTCTAAATTAGTTCTTCGGAGGCTGTTAGTCTGTGCTCAGTTTGCACTCAAATGCAAATTCGCAGACCACAGCTTTATCCCGTCTATACTACTACCCTCCAGCCCAGATTTGAGCCCATTTTGACAAACTTTACCCCAAATGTCTTAATTCTGTATGGGACAAAACAGTGTGTTGCTAATTACCCACACTTTCTGTACTTTTGGTTAGTCACACAGCTCCCCCTTTCTGTGTGCCTACCTAAGCCTGAAATCTGCCCCCCACCCCGAGGTTAGAGATGGCAATAACTCTAAGTGCATGGTCTAGGTCCTCCTCTATTCTTGCCTGAAAAACAGAAAGTAGGGCCTAGAAAAATCTCTCCTCTGTAATAGATGTCAATAACTGTAGGAACAACAACAAGCAAATGGAGTGTGGTAGCTTGGCCTATGATTCTATATTTGGAGTATGGTTCTGAACAAGTACTGAAGTCCAAAATTCGCATTCCAATGGGCAGGATAAAAGCCTGAAAGAAACTTAAGGCTACTGAAATCTGTGTCAATGTCAAAGGATGAGGAAAGGCCTTCAGAGGTCTTACTTTTTTGTGTGTGTGCATAGCAACATCATAGTGCTGGATGACTCCAGGCAGACAAGAAGTTGTCTGATACTCTTCCCTCTAGTGACCAATCTCACATATTGTGGGGGAGTTACAGATAGTCTGAGCTGGTCTTTGTGCTGTCCACATCCTGTCATTGTGTCTGTACAGAGCTCAGCTAGGGACTGTGCTGTGGCTGTGCCAAAGTAATTTGTTTTCTAATATTTTTACTCCCCAAAAGGCTGCTTTGAAACCTCCTCAGTACTGTCAGCTGAATATTAGCAGTAACACCAGAGAATCAAAATACACTTAAAAAATATTAGAGAGGACTGCAGAGCTGCAGAAAATTCTGTTTCCCTGCTGTTTTGGCATTACTTTGTTTTCTACTAAGCTGGTTGAAAGAGAGAATAGGATTCATAGAGATGTCCCCAGTTCAGATCTGTGCACCAGAAAGATACCAGTACTGGGCAACATTATAATGGTAGAGGAAGAAGTGCAGACGCTTAGTGCCAGGGACAGAGGAACTAGTGGAGCTGGATCACTTTATTAGCTATCGAGTTGCCAGGGGAAAAAAATCCTAAGTGAATCAAATTTGCCTTGAAGAAGTAATGCCAACAGTCTCGGTGGAGCTGATGAGCAGTTGTCATCGCGGAGGGCTTATCCCTCATCCACAGCCAGCTGCTCCCTCTTCTCTCTGAGGGCCATGAGCTCTGAGAAGGTCCTAGAATTTCAATTCCCCAGGTTGAGCAGAAAGAAGACAGTGAGATAGCAGGAGGCTGTAAAGTCTCTGTTGCCTGCTTTAATTTAACAGTCTAGAATGTGTTCCCTCCTTTTCTTACTGAAACCTTTCATTTTCTTTTCTAGCAGAATACTATTATCACCTTCCTCATCCAAATCATCTTCTCAGTAGTTGAGAAAACCATCATCTTATCTGTCCTTTTGCTATTATTGTGCCCCACGTGGCTTTCAAAAAAACTTACTGTAACTAACTTTTTTTAATGCATTTTCTGATTTAACCATTTCTGATGGCTGAATAGCCATCTTTGCCATTGTTTAGCTTAATGACAAGTTAACACAGTGAATTGTGTACAGGTAGAAGCATTTTTTCATGCTTCTACCCCACCTACGCAAAGGATTGTGGATCCAAAGTGAAGGCTGTGAATGTTAAACCACTGTAAGAAGTGCTTTACCCGTAACAATTAACTAAGTTAACCTGTTAACCAGGATAATCATCCTAAATGCATTCTGACCTTCTAGGAGGATAATATCCATGTTCCATATTCCCTCTGACTCTTTCTGTAAGACCTTTTTCTCTCTGCTTTTTTAATATTTTGAGTTTCATATCCCTTTTTTTGCAGCGTTTTGGCTCCTAAGCAGGAACAAAATAGTGTTTCCTATGTCAGTAGGAGTTAACAGGCCTTCTACTAAGGAAGCAACCTTATTCCAGTAAATAGTGTAGCTGGAAATAATGAAGGTGCTGATGCAAGGAAAACAAAATACTGGCACTGATGCTTTTTTTCCTGAAACATAGAGAGGAAAATGGGAGATATATTTTAACAACCATGTACTTATGGCCTTTTTGAAGAAGATTAAGCAACATTGAATGGTTCATAAAAGTAGCAGGCTAAAACAATATATTTTGAGTCTATAAAATAAATTTTAAAAAAGAATAATTAAAAAATCCAGTCCTGATAATAGCACTGTAAGAACAGAAAATTATTTTTGTGTCAGATTTTAGTGAAAGAGAGAGATGTAAGTAACATAGATGGTATTATTTCAATCATTTGCACCTCAGTAAATATAGCTAATCAATGTTTTTCCTACATAGCAGCACTAAAATTAGACATAGAGAAAAGTACAAGAAAAGTTTAACAGAAACTAGATAGTTGGTTTGTTTGTACTATAACATTCTAAACAGATAAAATTGTTTTAACTGAGGTTATTTATGGATAAATGTTGCAAATATATCTCTTTTCTACTGTATATGTGAAATCTTTGGTTTGAGGTCCTAACTTCTGTGAAAGGATGGTGCACACAGTCTTCACTAAAAGTGGGGACTACAAACTTTCAAACACTACATTACAGTAGATATTTTTTCACTTTGGCTATTAACCATTTGCTTCTTATTGGAGTTGACCGTTCAGCTATACAGTAAAGCATCATTCCAATCCCATCTGAATAGTTAAAATAGCTGTGTGGGTGCATGTGTTCAGATAGCTGTGCTAAAAAGAACCGTATGGTTGAAATCCATTACTATGATGGTCACAGTTTAATGCTGGTCATGTTAAATGCTCATCAGTACTGAGGTGTAAAATCCAAGCATTGGGAATGATACAGCCTGCCTGCCTGCCTGTCTGCAGAGGGATCAAGAAGTCTGTTTTGGCACTTTCATCAGGTTTTCATCATCAGTGCTGATCCCAGTTTTTCATTTCTGAAAAGGCGATTGGGATACGATATGAACATCCTGGCCTTGGTCCTCTGATTCCTGCTGCATTACTCACCCTTTGACCACAGGCTAATTGCGGGGGGCGTTTAAAGCCCTGACTTCTTGTCTCAAATTGCTTCCTGCTCAGCTTGCATTTATGCGGGAGATGGACATAGTGTAGAAGCTCCACTATGGGATGGCACCAGTAGGAACCCATGTCCTGGCACCAGCCTTTTCCCTCCCGCAGGCTTGGGCAGCTGAGCTCTGCTGAGCCCTGCCTCAGTTTAAGTTTCCCCTCCAGATGTCGTCCCTGCCCAGAAAGCCAGCGGGCAACATGTGGGCTGCACCTCAGCCACAGCTCACCACTGGCCTCAGAGGCTGAGCTCCCCTTCATTGCAATTTTACAGCCAGATGTGAGTTCCACGTCCAAACAGTTCAGGTTCAACCACACATTCCTTTCTGCTGCCTTTGTTCCATGGCATTACCAAGTCTGTAAAACAGGGCAGTGGAGCACACAGTGTACTGTGTCTATAACAGCTGCATACACTTTCCCATCTTGCAGCATTGGACATATGGGTCTTTTATTGTTTTACTAACAAGAGAGAGACGAATTAGTTTGGCATCTGCCTTTTGGCAAATGTGGCCACAGCACGACTGTTTGTAACTGTCTTCTGGGAAGGTAGTTCTCCTGGAGATCTCTGAAAATGGAAACTGGAGAATTTCTACCAAACACTGCTGTTCCTCTGCTCTTATAGGAGACTTCTCAAGAATTGCGTGGTTGTGGCTGAACACTACTTGTTTAGCACCTGGGCTCCAAATTTAATGTGTACCTGCTGTTGTGTAGTAAACTTCAAACATAAGACTTACTGAAAGAAGTCTTAGTCAAAACTGTCTAATGCTATGAATTTACTACTTGATTAAAATATTTAAGTAGAACCTATAATAACTCTGTAGGTACGTAACAGATTCTTCTTCCTTTTTCTTCACACAATTTACAGGTATAAGGAAGGTTCTACTTCCACAACATATTCAATGAATGTACTTTCCTATCCCCTCACCCCACAGTGTAGTGTGCCCAATGAGAGACCTTGATGTTAAAGAATGTATTGATGGTTCAAGTGGTTTTTTTGTCAAATGATGTATAGCGTACAGCATGATTCAAATCAATCCTGCAGATGTTGAAGCAGGCTGGATGCTTTATAATGTATGTTTGGGGTCCCAGATCCCATGAAAGTTTCCCTTCTTTGAATTGATGAACTCCAAATCCGTGGGAAAGCTTCCAAAATGAAGCATTGAACCCAGCTTTTGATAAGCTGTACTTGGAAGTAATTCATGCAATGTGAATTTTGGACATTCTCTGCAAATTGCTCCTGAGAATATTTGCAACCTATACTAAGCAAAATAATCAATAAGTATTTGGAAATACTATTTGTCAAATAAATTGCTTTAGACAGCATTTGCTGAAATAAATGAATAGTCGATATTCTGAAATTTGAACTAAAGTAATAAGAAGGAAGTAGTTATTTTGATGAACCAGTAGATCCAGTGTGAAAATTAAATATAATTAACATTTCCCAAATATAATTTCCTGACTGTGTCTATTATGTATGTAGCACATAAAACCCTAGGCTATCGTCAGAGGTTTTTGACTAATTAAGCACAGAGAGATATGTGAAATGTTTCCTGAATTTTTATTATTTTTTTTTTAATTGAAGAGTTATAGTTTATCTTTAATCACTTCCTACTATTCTCCCCCCCCCATCTTCCTCATGGAAACCTGTACCTCTCTGCCATTTGTGATAATGTAATAAAGATGCTTTACTTACAGAGATGGTACAGGACGTTTAATCCTCACAGCCGTCACCTCTCGGTCACTGTCTTCCTGCTCGAGCTTTTCTTCTGCCTCCCCATAGCCACTGTCCTGGGCATCCAGGCTGTCATCACGACACTTAAGTAGCAGTTCTTTCTTAGATCCCTCTTTGTCCTCTTGTTCCATATGTTCCCAGCCCTTGGTCAGATCTGATACCAAAGTTGAACACTTTCTCCTTATGGTTGGAGATAATTTACCACTAAGAATTTTGTCAATAGCACTTGATTCTTCTTTGAGCTTGGTCATCTCCGAGCTGCTGTTGTTATTCTCATATCTTTCACTGAGGAGGCTGACGCCACCTCCTCGTTCGTAGGCTTTGCTGACAACGGTTTTGGTCACCTCTTTGCTTTTAATGTTGAACATTTTGAGGGCTTCATCTGATTCCCTTGAATTTTTTTCAGCATCTCTTATTGTCACTGAGGATTTTTCATCACCTTTTTCTTGGTCCCTCTTGACAGATGGAATTTGCCATTTTTTGAAGGAACTTTCTTGTACAGGCTGAGCTGATGAGCCTTCTGCAGTAGGGGCCCATCCAGAGGGCTCTTGCTCTTGCTTTACATGGTGGTCAGATGCCCACTGCTGCCATCCTCGTGCCAAACTGAAGACTTGGCTGGCCATTCGGATCTTGTGGACAGCCCTTTTTACAGGAGCAGTGCTCGGCTTTTCTTCGGGAGCCATGCTGCTGTCTGCTGCCATGCTGGCTTTTCCCCTTCTTATGCTCAGCACCTTCTCAATGGATTTCTTGAAACAAATAATACCCTCCGAAGAGGGCCACACAGATTTAAATAGAAGCAGGAGCAGTTAATGCCCATGGAAAATATGTGAAACACTTCTCACAAAGATATAGTATCCTCAGTGTTGCAAAGGTCTTTTTTTAAAACACAGGGGTTGCATTTCATCACAGCAGATGAATGATGCATGATGTAAACAGGGTGACACAGGCTTGTGCTGGAAATACTGGGAAATTAACATCTCCTTTAGTCCCCCCTTGGTGACTGCTGAATTCCCAGTTTGTTGGCAAGGGTCGTGTTCTTCTGGAAATGCAGAACTTGGATTAGAGATCCTGATCAGAGTGACTGAAACTGCTAAATATGAAATGCTGTCAGTCCCTAACAAGTTTGAACAGTGTGGAGACTTTTCATTATCACAAATAAATAGTGACTCTTGTCAGGGAGTGTGAAGGCAGAAGCAGGCTATGAATGAGAAATTGTTAGATGCATTTTCTAAAAAGATACTAGATGATTTCTTCTTACTACTCATGTGTCCAAGGAAATCCAGGTTTGTTAATTTTTTAAGAGGTATTTATGTGTTCTGTTCCCAGTCATTATCTATTAATGTCTGTCTCTTTAGAACGTACCTTCAGGGGGGTCTGGGAACATTATCGTGTTTGGTGTCAGCACTAAGGAAGAGGGAATCACTATCTCTGGGAATCAGAATAATAAGTCTGACTTGATCAGATGGATGAATGATCTCCTAGTTTTAGGATTTTGAAAAAAATGAAGTATAACCTGTTTAATTCCTCACTGCTTTTAAGAAAGTTGTATATAAAACTTCACGTTTACTTATATATTATTTACAACATAACTGTGTTTACCAGGTACAGTACAGAAAAAATCAGTTTTCCTAGGAAACCTAGTGATTTTGTCATTCCAGAGGACTTCCTAGAGTATGTTCATATTTGAATTAGTAAAATTTTTTAGCTAATTGATAAATCAATTTTTGCATGACAATAAATGGACATTTTTCTGAGATATGGTCCTATGGTATCTTATTTCTGAGTATAATGTTTCCTAAATAGGAACGGAAAATGGCATTGCTTTTTCAATGCATCATACCTTGCAGATTACAGGATGACCTGTTGCACTTGCCATGTGGTGCTTTGAGGCATACTGTTATAACTTCAAGGAATTCTGTTGACTTTGTTGGTGTTACACCAGAGATAAATATGGACTCTTGGTCCTCTGCCTTTTTATCTTCTCTCTATTAAAGGCTGGACTGTTTGAAGTAGGTCAGATCATATTTAGTTCTTGATTAATGCTATAAGACTACATCATACCTTTGACTTCTATGCAGGATTCCTCATTAATCTGTGGAGTAATTTCCTCTTCAAAACTGATGACACAATGTAAGTTAGTGTTGCTGTTAGATATTTGCTCATACTTTTATTTTAGAAAGAAATGTGTCACCTCTGTATACTGTATAGTCTCAGCTATTGCCAACTGCTTCGTAACTGTGAGGCAGGATTGTGAGGTGTACTGGTACAACTTGATTAAGAAGCATGTGTTACCAAGCACTTATTTTGGGGACATTTTAAGGATCATAATCAGGAATGGGATCTTTTTGTGCTTAAAAAACCCCACATGTGCATGCCTGCATGCACACAGGGTGGTGTATGTTCCCTAAAATATAAGGAAGATTAAAGTGAAAGAAGAGAATAAGGCACATGAAGAATAGGAGCATTACACCTGCTCATTCCATGTGATTTCTTGACTATAAGGGTGGCTGAGGTTTTAGGAATGAGCTGAAAGCTAAATACAGATGTAAGGGGTAAGGCCAGGGAAGGACTGCAGTGGAATAAGTGACTGTGAAAGGACAATCTTGGAGGGTAAGGCCAATAGAGACCCCTGTTGTAAGGGGGACAGCTCCACCTTCATGTGTTCTGGTTCCTGTTTCTCCTGTTCTTAAAGAGTACTGGCAGTAGACACTCCCCACTGTCTAGGCAATCTATCCCACTGGTTAACTAGCATAAAGGAAACCTTTTCTGAGATCTGACCTCCACCTCCATCACACCACTTTAAGCCTCTGTCAGTGCCAAGAACTAACAAATCACTCCCTTTCTGAGGCAGCCTTTCTTTCTGAGGACTCCTGTATTCCTCCTCAATCTTCTGAATGACCCCGTGTCTTCCCAACTTTTCTTGTGTTTCTGGGATCCGTGGTCACGCTTTTGCGCTTGCTGGTTTCCCTACATTAGGTCCATACCTTTGTTCAAGTGTGATACCCAAAATGGGGATGGTATTCTAGATTAAGCTTGCCCATAATGCAGAAAAGGAACAAATGTCTCGAATGTGATGCTCCTGATTCATATTCTTCTTGTAATCTCCAAAGTTTCCAAAGGCTTTCCTGCTTCATGGCTATCTGTATTCACAGACTGTGCCTTCATATGTAACCGTTGTTGTTATTGTGTTCTTTTTTTTTTCAGGTAATTTTTTCAATTTGTCATGACCAATTTGATTTTTAATCCCTGTTCCTGTGTTCTTGCAATATAATTCATATTTGATAAATGTCGTGTCTATTCCACTTTCAGAATCACAAATGGAAATAGTACCTAAATGTGAAGTAGATCCAGTTATTAAGAACTTTCAGTTTGATAGAGAATTATTATTTATTTTTGTGTGGTTTTCCACACAAAATTTGGTGTATTCCAAATACAAAATATTGTAGTATTCCAATTAATTTTATATATGAGATGAAAATAATAAACCTGACCAATATCAAGATGTGTAACATCTGCTGCATTTGCCTATCTTTGGGGCTGGACCAGATGAACTTTGGAGGTCCCTTCCAGCCTTAACTATTCTGTGATTCTGTGATCTTCCAGAGCCTGCTACTTTGCTATAAAATAGAATTAATATTGCTTTAATGTAATTTGTAATTCCTGAGGAATGTTTGGAAATTACACCACTTTTCAAAGAATTGTTAATAAAGAGAATTTTTTTTTTCTAGTGGACTTGACCTTGGCATACTGGTCGTAGTCCCAGTATTAAGTCCCCACAATTAATATTTACATAGTTTAGATAAATGACAATAAAAAGTCACAGACTACTGAAAAACACCAAGATTACAGATCTAAACTACTATTAAATCCATGTTGCACAACAATATATTAAACAAATGTTTAGTTTAAATTGGTCACTATATTAAGCTGAAGTGTTATAAAATCAGACTTGTCCAAAGTGCTAATGAAACTTTGATCTAATTATTCTGAGAATAACTAAATTTATGGTGCTTAATTTTAGGGTGTACAATGATGTTGCCTTGAACATGTTGAATAGTGTCTCGTTATATGGTGATGTTGCCAGCAAGAAGTTAATTAGAAGTATAAATAATGTCTGAGTCATCCAGTGAGATTCATACTTTGAGGGTAGCTTATTTTACAAATGTTTTCTGCAGTAAGAGTAGAATTTATTACATCATGCTTTTCAATTTTTATTCTTAGAGAAATAGTCAGCCAAGGCTACAGCTACATTTCCATATGCAGTCTCCCTAATGGCACTTCTAAAAGCTGAGAGCCAGCCCTTAAGGCACAGGTAGGTTTTAGGCAGGCTGGACCTGAACCACATTTTCTATATCTTCCATATATCACAAGATCATAAGGTATATTCCAATGAACAGCAAGGCTTGGTGAGGGTGATTGTCACAGGCTTTCACAAGTTCAAAAACTATGCTTGAGGTCAGAGTTGAGGGACCATTTCTTGCAGAAGATATATAGGAGAAAAGGTAATTGGAGAAAGTGATAGATGAATAAGCTTGACACATGCTGAAGTTGTAAACTCCCTTGTCCTTGATCCTGGCTGCCTGCAGTTCTGGGATTTAATCTCTTTGACACCTTGAGACAAGTCTGCACATGTTCATAGGGCCTTGTTTCTGCTTTTGGATTGCTGCATTTCACATAATACTTCTGACTTCCTGCATCCAAACTTGGGAAGAAACAAGCTGAAGGGATGTCAATGTCAGTGTTAAAAGTTGGGATGTTTTTGCTGTGTGGTGGTTTGGTTTCTTCTCTCCCCCTGTCCCCTGATGGATTACTCTGTGACTATTTAAAAATCCTTTTACTTTCTCTTCACTGTAGAACATTAACATTAACAGTTTGCCATCACTTTTTTTTTTGTTTGTATTGTTTAAGGATGATTCATTTTAAAAGTAGGGCTGTATCCTGCATACATTACTTTACCTTGTCAGACATTGATATAAGTTATTCAATGTTTTTCACGCCAAGTAATTTAATTTTGGACCAACTGTAAGTGTATGAAAGATGCTGTCTTCTGCCTCAGAGTTAGTGGTGAATAACAAAAACAAGCCGTGTTTCTTTGTTAAGTATAAGCAGCTGCCATTATTAGTAATCTCAAGACTGAATTTTCTTTTCACCATGACATGGTTAAAGTACATTGTGTCAGAGCATTGTACGCTGCCAGTTATCACAGTAAACATGGGAAAAAGATTAGCCTTTGGGATTTCCTTATTTTTAGAGTTCACGTCAAACGTATTCCTTCTAACAACAGCAGTGAACAATTCTCATTTAACACACAGTTTCATGTACAATGCAGGTGTCTGAGCCCTAAGACGTGGACTGCTCACAAGACTTTGGACTGGGTCCTGTCCAGCCATTAACAGAAAGCAGTCTATGCATTCCTTAGTGCGGTTTCTTGGGCTTGCATCCTATATCTAGCCATAGGCTTTTTTTTTTTTTCAGCTGAAATTCTGTCATACTGAGAAACTCTCCCTGTGTAATTAACATGTAATCTTGAGTCTGCATTTGATTATGTGTCATTATATGAGAGATCAGGGCTTATCCATGACCTATCATGACATTTGTGAAGAAAATAAACCCAATAAACTGTCAAGAAAACCCTGGTCAGAACCACAGTTGAAAGAGTCTCAGTTGTGGAAGGGTAGTGGGGGGAAATGGAAGACCCACT